CCCCCCCCGGCCCTCGCCCTCACCGCAGCCCTGAGCACGGGCTTTAACCCGCGGGGATGTGGTTCCTCCCTCTGTCTAGGCGAGGGGAAGGAAACACCATCCTGTGTCCGCGGAGCAGATGCGTTAAGTTACCTGCAGCTATTGAGATACAGGGTTGGGGGGGGGGATTTTCAGCCCCCTGGACTGGCCCTGGGGGGGGGGTCTCTCGGTTCGTCCCTCCTTAATCGCTCCTCTCCGTCTCTCTGCCCCTTTCACGCTGTTCTGCCTTACACCAGCTCCCCCCGCCCCGCTTTACAGAGCGGCCCTGAAGCCTCAAAGCGAGGGGCGCACCTAGGCCACAGCTGAGGCATTTGGTTCTTCATAAACTATCCCCGTCAGCTCCAGCTCCAGTTCTTGGCATCAGCTGATACCAGAGGGGAAAAAAAAAATCCTTCCTCAGTCACCTGCCCAGGAAGCCAAAGATGTGACACACTCCAAGAGCGTGTCCAGCTCCGGCCGTCCTGTCTCTTTTGGCATCCATCAGAGGAGCGCAGCCCTCAGCGCTAGGGAGACCACCAGCCTTGCTCCGCAGGTGGGGGACTGCTCTTTGGCGCTTTTGCACGCATGCAGAGAGCAGTTTGTTCCCAAGGCAGCAGCAACCTGGGTAATCCCGAACAAGACAGACACAAAACAGAGAAGACTTAGTTACATTTTTAAGTATGCTGTTATTTCGCTGTTTTTACTCCTCCAAATCCACCTGGGCCTGAGCTGTCTTAGCCTACCCCAAGGCAGCACTAATAAGAATTGCAAAGCAAAGCCTGGCCCAGAAAACACTCAAAAGAGGATTTTTTCGAAAGACAGGATTTTCACAAGCACTTCAGGTCAGCTGGGAACGGACAGTGGCATGTGTGTCCTAAGCCCCTTACGTATTTCTGAAAATCCAAGCCTAGGTTGTGTTGCTACACCTGTCCTTGCAATTTTCAGCAAGACATTTGATTCCTCTCTTATGTATGAGACCGCAGCACAGCTTTGGGGAGTGTTTTCGTTGGAAGAGGCTCCTCTTTGTTATACTGTCAATGCAGTGATAGCAAAAGTTTACCTTTAAACAGTAATCACAACAATGCAGAGATAAAAATCACACCACAAACCCCAAATACCACCACGGCATGTGGCTCTTTCAGTCCTAACTCCTCAAAAGCAGTTGACCAGACAACCACATAACAGGAGTTCCCACCCTCCTACAAGCTTCAAAACAGTTGAGGTGTGAAGATTTTACAGAATGAGTTTGATACCCTTCTTCCTGACATCCCAGGGCTCTGCAGTCCAGGCCACAGGCATGTGCGTAACGACCTTCGTTGATCCATCCCCATCTATAATCTGTGTCCTGGAAAAGCGGTTAGGTACCTCTTTAGGAAGCCACATCCTGGCGGGCACAAGGGCCAGATCCACAGAGGCTATCAGCTCCCCAGAGCAGACAGAGACAGCTTTTTGCCTAGGTGGCTCTCACGGCCTTGAGCCAGCCTGTACAAAACATTAGTCACAGGGACTGAAGCGGCATTTAGGCCGCCTGAATCTATCCCTTAGCTCCTCCTGATTGAATTTATAGGTCAGCTCCCTTGCTCGTGTGTTAGATCTGGGCTTAACTGCTTAGCATAGGGCGTTTTTTTTTCCTCCTTCTTTCAAGAAAGTCAGTGAAGAAGAAAAAGTGGTTCATGGGGCACCTGAGCTAGATAGACAGTTTGTGCCAAGAGGCAAAGCCCCGCACTCTCACACCCCGCAAAGGGGACGCGCTCAGCAGATCCGCTCTGCAGGGAAGCGTTTCCCTGCTGCTGAGCAGAGGCAGCCCTGCGCCCACAGGCCTGCAGGCGAGCGCGGCCGACAGCAGCAGAGGAGGCATCAAGACAAACGAGGGAGCACACGAGCTGCATTTCAGGCTCAAATCTCTATATCCTGAGCGACTGCGGCTTGTTTACACACCTACTGGGGAGCGGTGCTGCTCGGAAGGGGGAGGTAAGGCCATCCCCGAAACCCTAAAAATAGCACAGTGAAAGTCATTGTTCCCCTTCTCAGTTAGAAGGCCAGGAAAGGAAAATGCATGAGCGCGGAGGCTTTCTGCTGCAGCCCTGAGGGAACGACCCCGAGTCATGAGAATATAGGGCAGATATTGAGGCAAAGAATGAGGAGCAGCAGGAGACAACAGAACATAATTTGTGTAGATAGACTGTAACAGCCTCTGCAGAAAGGCCCACAAAAGATTTTATTGAGAGAGAGAATATTTTACTTTGCTGTGGGCAACGGCTCTTCTACAGGCAGAAGTGGAAGACTGCACGGCGAGACAAAACAAGCTGCTTAAATGTAAACACACCTTTGTTTCGTGGTGAATAAGGGGATACAATGAGCAGCATTTTGCTAACATGGAAATTATTTAGGATGCTAACAGTTAAGTATAGTAAGAATTATGTGATTAAACAAAGCAAAGAAAAACATACATTGCACATCATGGGCAAAATCCTCACTGCGAATCAGTCTCCTTAGGGCAGGAGCAAAAGTGGTGTTGTCCAAGTCGCTTGAAGTTAGAAGGGAAAAGTATTGAAGACAACACGGTGGAGAACAATGGTTTATTGACTGAGGGGTGGACATGTCACTTGGGAACCAGCTATACGGTTGGCCGCAGTTTTAAAGGCACAGAGATGCCAATAAGGATTTTCCAACCTCTTCATAATCAGTAAGATGGCAAGTTTGAAGTGAGAGAGGAGAAAAAAACGGGTTTACCAATGGGAGAGTAAGTTTGGGGCTAGGATATGAAGACCGAACGTGGCTTGGGGGAAGGAGTTACTGCACACACTGAAAGGCAACCTCTGCTTGAGGACAAGAGCAGAGAAGGACAGAGGCGGTGTCAGGTTAGGAGAAGAGGAACAAAGTGAGCTCTGAGAGGAGCATGTGGATGAAAGACACAGGAAATTGAAATGACAGGTAGAGAAATGAGTGTCTGAGGATGGAAAAAAGAAGCACGTGTTTGTGAGCAAAAATAGTTACAGTAATAGGAAGCGTGCTGTGGAAACATACTGCCTCTCCCAGGTGGTTAACTGTAATCAACTGTAGCACTTAGACAAAATACTTCCAAACTGCAATCACAATGTCTTCCTGGAGTAGGGAAACACTGACAGAGGAGGGAGGCAAAGACAGAAAGGCTAAAGAGGGTGAACGGCAACGAAGGAGTCAGTTTTGGGGCAGGCTAGAAGGTAAGCATCCCTCGCTTTCAGCCCTGAGCGAGACCTGCACGTCGCAGCTCGGGAACACACACTGCGAGCGCCCGGGCTCTGCTGGCTCGTCATCAGGGGCACTCAGCCACCTGAAGGAAACAGCTATTCAGGGTGCTGCGCAGCCTACCCCACCCTGGACACTGCAGCAATCACGAACCGAATATCCCTGATCTGGAAGCTGCTTTTCCAGCATTTTATCTGCCCTAAAGTTAGTAGTACAGACATATATACATAGCCATTTCTAAATAAACGTAGCACATTTTATCCCAACGGGTCCTAACACATTTCCTGAATACACAGGGACAGCAGGCCAGAATACACTGCGCTGCGCAAAAGCCAGGGGAGGAAGAGAGGGAGAGAGAAACTTCTGACTCAGGGCCCTGGGTCAGATCCCCTCCCGAGAAGTCTCTCCTGTCCACACAGAGCAAACCGGAGCTCCGGGGTGCAGGTGCTAGGCCTGCGAGAGCCTCTAGGAAGGCACAGGGCTGAGCAGGCCCTTCTGCGATTTGGGTCTGTATTTCCACGGAAATCCAGGACCTGGATGAACAAGACCCCCCCCTACCCTACTAATTGACAGTGTCTGCAGAGAGCAAGACCATCAGTTACTTCAGGGCAGCTGAAACGAGTGAGGTGAAGCCATGTGGCGAGTTGCAAATATGCATATACTTAACATAAAGTTAATTTAAGCAACGACTCGCTGACCACTGGATATGTGCAGGGGCTGTAGAGCAGAAGATGGTAGCGTCTGTCATGATAGATTTAGTCAGAAGCTGTCTTTGCAGAAGTGAACATCAAAGGTTATGACAGCAAATCCTTCAGCTTCCTGTGTGTGACAGCAACTCATGAAGTAGGAAAAAAAAAAAACTCCACAGGTGTGGGCGACGGCTAACGCTGACATAGCTATAACGTAGTCAGGGATTAAATTAAAAAGTCCTTCTGATTGTCATAAAATTTACCCTGTTACCCACAAACCATTTCCTCTTCTACCCATGAACTCTTCCCCATCTTCACAGAAGGCAGAAGGCTGGTGTCTCTATGTCAGGCAAGCATGAAGTCGGTGGTTGTAACCTTCTGTCTCCTCTGCTTTCAGTTTGAAGCCCTGTACGGTAAGTAGCATTTTGGATTTTTCTCCCTGCAGTACATGTCTCTGTGGAATATAATCCACCCAGTGACGGGAGAGAGTAAATGAGGGGCGATGCGAAGGGGCCGGGGGAATAGAGATAATTAAGGGAAACAGCTGCAAAAAGAACGCTCTTAACTTCAGCATCACTAGAGAGTTTGTGGAAAGAGAGTCCCTGCTAGCGCAGAACATTTGCTCTGGCAACCCGAGACAGAAAAGCAGAGATTTCACTGTTTGTAGTCTTTAACTCATCTGCTGTGCGTTACCTTCTAGCTGTTTGGGCTGCAGTGCTCCAGGCAGCTTTCCTTGCTGAGCACGGCGTCTTACACATACGGCAGTAGGACGGTGAATGGCTTAACAAAGAGCGGCCAAGATACTGATATTAATCCTGCTCATGTTTGGGCAGGGAATTTTGGAACTGTGAAAAACAGGTACAGCTTGGCCGTGTGAACGAGATCATTCATTGCAGGCTTGAAACTCAAGAGTGGCTTAAAAGGAAGCGCCGACAGTCTTAACGCTGCCTTTTGGATGGGGCAGGGTGACAGTGCAGATCTCAGTGCAGCCATAAACACGGATGTCGCGTTTCACAAGATTCAGCGTTCCATCATAGCTATGCAAAGTAAAACGCCATAGCCCCCATTTAGCTGAAGCCTCTCAGAAACCTGTGTATTTCAGGCCAGAATGGGGATATAGTCCCAGGATTTAGTATTATGCGTCATAGAAGTAAGGCTTGGGATTTAGTGGGTGCAGTTACTAAGCACCGTCTAAACACGGTCCTTTGAAGGTCATGCCGAGGGCTGTTGGAGACGTGTGCTTCGGAAATTCCAGGGATATAGGATACGCTTCAAGTCCTTCTACAGAACTGTACTGCTCCTGAGGTTTCATACACAATTTAAGCTTTTATTTAAATAAAAAATAGTTTCCTGCTCTTCAAGCAATGCAGATACACTTGTGAAGGTTAACTAATACAGCGATAGTATCCTGAGTTTTCAGATAGACTGAAAAGACGGGTGAAATCCCAGGGAAGGAGGATTGTGGTCAGTATCTCTTCAGGGCCCTGAGCTGCTCTTGAAGAATTATTCTGAAATGTATTAACACAAAATCCCAGCTATATTGCTAAGTATTTCTCTGCTAGACAATCGAGCAGGTATACTTGTCCAGCCTGCTTTATCCATGTGGCTGGAGCTACCTAAGAGGCCATTCCTTGCAACTTTAAGGATGTAAATAATTGTTCTGTTGGCTGCTGGTATTTCCCCCTTCCTTCTGCCTTCCTTCACACCTGCAGGATAGGTCTTGGGCTTGGGGCTGGGGAGAGAAGATGCTAGGAGAAAGAAAGGAACTGCCTCTAAATGAGAAATGGTATCTCTCAGACTTTTTTCCTTAGGCTGCTTTCAGCTTAAAAAGTAGTAATTATTATCACCATTGCTAGAAAGGAAAGGGCTGTAACAGATCAGCTCGACGCAGGGCACACCAGCACAACAAACTCATTTAGGGAAGACGTTAACATTTCAGAGTGCTTCCAAGCACTGTGGTAAATTTTCAGGAGTGAAAACAGAGTAACTTCTGAATGTATTTTTGTTTAGAGAGTAGCAAGGCCTACTTTACATCTGTGGTTAACTTCTTCACTGAAAGTACACATGTATATTTGTGTGTACATGTGTGTATTGGGTAATTTGGTAACACAGAGGTGATAAAATTGTTTGTAAGGGCAGGGAGCCTAAGTCTCCCGTGTCTGTACAGGAACAAGGGGAATGGGCTTTTGGTGGGCAGAGCCATAGGACTCAGTAGCACTGGGGGCCCTTGGCTAGGAAAAACCGCACGTGGATTTCTGATTGCCAACATTTGCAAAGTATTCTCACCGTTCACCTCCAGTTCTCCTGTTGTCAGTACAGGAGGAAACCATGGCCATTTTTCAGGGGAATGTGCGAAATATTATCAAAAATGGTTGCTGTGTTAGTTGTATACATTATAATAGTTTCTACATTTTATGACATGTCTTACAGCATAGAAATAATTCATACTATCAGTGGCTTCATAGAGTAATTCTGGCCATTACTTGCTTTGCCCAGAAGCGCTGCTTTCCCCTGCTGACCCTTGCTTCTGGCAAGACGGACGCACTCTGCTTTAGGCATACAACTCATGACACTGGGCCCAAAGCGCCATCTTGCAGAGTGCCTTGAAAGGTCAAAGCTATAGCAACTTAAAACCTGTGTACGCTTTCATTACACATTTAGTAGAAACAAAACCCTCCAAAAAGTTTGTTTTAAAAGCAAGGTCTATACCGTCCTTGCGTGTTTTCAGTGGCAAACGCACCCACGTGAAATTATGCTTGCTCTTTTCATCAGTTAGTTAGTTTTCTGAAAGCAGGGACAGAAAAAACAGACAGCAAAAAAAACCCAACACCCCCCCCCCAAACAAATAAAAAAAAAATACCAAGCAAGAGCATTCTCATTTGTCCTCCCACCCTAAAATCCAAATTCTAAAATTAATCAAACGTCGTTCGATTTTTTGCACGCGGTGTTTCGTGTTTGCAAACAGCACTGGCTCTGCCAAAGAGCAGCCAGAAAGCTCTGAATTGCAGCCCCAGGAAAAGGGAAGGGACCTGCCTGCCAGCGGCCTCAGACCGCCCACGCACAACTCCCGCCGCAACTCCTGCCCCTCCGCCGAGGGGCCTCCCCGTGGCGATCCTGGGGGAAGTCAGGGTGCCTGTCAGTCCGGGTGGCGGAGGTGCAGACAGCTATTGTACAGCTTATCTCTTCTGGCAGTCAACATCACCGCAAACACACAGACGCATAGGATGTACACACACACACACACACACACTAGTTTAATATAGCAATACGTTACTCTCTGGTACATGTCCATCTCTCAGATTCACGTCTGAACGAAGCAACATTTAGATGTGTCCCGACACTGTTTCACACGAGGTGAGCCAGGAACAGCTCCACACAACCCCAGCGCGGCACTGCGATAAAACCAATGAAAGATCTGTGTTGCTTCTGTCTCAAACCCTCATATTGCCAATCCATTGTTTCTTCTCTGAAAAATGCCCCAAAAGAACCTTACGGCCAAATCCAAGCTTTTCACTATCAAACTAGAGAGACTCTTCCGTTCATCTGCGGCGATGACACGAGGTAGCCTTTTATTCACGTATTTTTGGGGCAGTATTAGGGAGGTTTTCTGAGTAAATCTCTCTCAGCATAACCGGCTGCTTAAACTTCCGTTTCCTATCTCCCATCCCCCTAGGCGTACGTTTATTCCGAATATATCTTAGCAAATGACACCACAAAGGTATCTAGTGGTTAACGACACAGTGTTAAGGGGTCCCTAGGACTATCCTAAGACGGGACCGAGAGAAGTGGGCCCAGGATCAGCAGCAAGCAGCAATAAGGAGGGGGGAATAAGCTACCTGTTAGTATGCTGTGAGAGAGTGTCCGCGTCAGGAGCTGATGCAGAAGAGCCAGGGAGCTGTAAATTCGCATCTCACCTCACTCGCCGTGGTTATCCATGTAGACAATTACTTGTTTTAATCTCAGGCACTGTTAATTTCATCTTTAAAATGAGCTCCTGTCACACTGTGTTAAGCACACTCCTGTGTGGGCACTTGTTTCAGAAGAATACTAATTGCATCACGTTTATCAAAATGCTTGTGCAGAGAAGTACATTTTTGAGTTTTTCTTGAAAATAGGTGCTGAAACTTCCGGGCCTGAGAGGATACAAAGCAATCTTTCAGCTCGCCACAAGGTCACATGAACCACAAATGCTTAGTGACCTCTCTCTGCCCTTTTCCATCAGAAACGAGGATTAAAACCATGATCTCTGACACAGACTCGAAGCCACCCAGTACGAAAGGGCGATTTCATTAGCTAAGAGCAAAATTAAACTCTTCTGAGAGACAATCAGAGGAATGAAATTCAAAGCTGTGGGCGCTCGGAGTGGCACCGGCCCGTCGCTCGCCGCCGGCAGGCCTCCGCTCCTGGCGCTCGCTCCTCTAGCGCACCTGGCCAGCGTACGGCCCTCGCTGTGCTCCTCGCCTCCTGCTCCATCCGTACGCTTGGCTTTTCTTCCCTTCCCTAAATAATTTGCCTGTTGTTGGCAACCTCATTTTAAAGGCACGCGTTATCAAACTATAGGCCACCCAGCCACACAGCTTTTTAACAGACCTTTACTTCAAATGCTGCTCCCTTAACAGCTGTTTTCTTTCGCCAGGCAACGTGCAAGTCATCAAGAGCCGCTCTGGTGCCTGACCCTCGCTTTCAGCTTTTCAGGCTCTACACCATCATGAGGGCTTGCACTTTCCGTGTCTGTGCCTTCAGTCTGTCTAGAGCTCTAGCTCACTCGGGGTTGGCGAGTTTTGTCTGTCATATCTTCACACCAGCGGGTACAGGATGCCAAGTACCTTGTCTGTTATCACACACTTAAGTAACAGTTCTGAAAGAGGTACAGATACTAGACCTGCCACTGGATTAGATAAGGTTGTTGACTGTGCACAGTAGACCAGGAAGACTAAGATAACCATGAAGAGGGTGAATCAATCAAAATGGGATAACGGTTTGTATTGCTTTCCAACTGAGCGCCACAAAGATTCTTCCAGAAGTCCATTAGCTCAGGCATTGCACTGAAGATAAATTAAGCAAGTATTATTCATTGCAATTATTCATTGCAATGCCCTTGTCAGTGATGACAATTGGGGTGCAGGAAAAAGCATGGACTCCAAAGGATTGCCTGAGTCCAGAAAGCAAGGCTAATCCTAGGTCAGCACCTACAAAGGTACGAGCACGAGAATCACGTTCTGCACCTGAGCATAAACAGGCTGCCCAGCAGGGATTACCGGCGCCTTGGGAGGAGGACCAGTGACGCTGTGTAATCAGTGCAATACCTGGCACAGCTGGGGACCGCTCCGTCTGGGTCTAGACTGACCTGTAGAAATAGCAACAAGAACATGATGGTGTCTGTTCTTAACTATTTGTCCTCAATTTCCTTAACATCAAAAAATCCTGATGTGGAGTATCTTTCAATCTAAGCGCCCTTCGAAGGACTTATCCAGAGTACTGGGTGAAAGGGAAAGCAGATACAGTGTTTTCTACCTGGCTGTGCAGGACATAAACTTTTCATTTTAGGGCACATTGCAAAAAGAAAAGTCTAAATGAAACACTATCAAGCTGTGCTTTGCCTGCCACTACTGACATATAAACCACTTCAAAGTGGTACATGCCACCAAGCCAGCAGGACATTTCCTTTCTTAGTATTGCCGTAGCGGGTGGTGAAGGAGGTGTCAGCTCAGAAAAATCCCAGAACCGGCATTAAAAATGTGCCAGGCTCCTATAATGGAGGTTGTCTATGCACATGGGATTGAATGCAGTTTGACAGGCATGAAGAGAAGAACATGCTCATGAAAAAGAAACAAAATTGTATGAACTGCCTGAACATTTTCTCGCTGTATATCTCACAGGATCTTCCAGGTATTCATTCTGGATGTGTCACAGGAAAGATGTTTTCATGCAAGATCACTCACTGCAGTGCTGAGGAGCGGGAAGGAAGAGAAAGAAGATAGAGTGCAATAGGCATTTTGGTCTGGAAACAATGTATAGCGGTGTCTTACTGGGGGCTCTGGATTCCTGAGAAAACAAAGAGGATGTTTTTTAATTTGGGGGCAGATATCCTCTTTATCTGTAGAAAACTTTACTTTCATCTCATTTTCTACTTATGAAATGGAAATGAAATAGAAATAAAAATGAAATGAAAGTACCTGCTTTTCAGAGATGTTTTACGAACTTGTATGTGCTATACATGTGATCGATATTAACTCTTGCTCAATTCATTTTCTTTCTACCTTGATTTCTATAATTTGTGATTTTATCACATCATGCGATTTGATAGGGTAGCGCATAGATAGGATCAGATAGGCTCTCGCCCCAAGTACTAACATCAGACAATAACGGCACCAACTAAAAGTTCCACAGCCCAGCCCCTGCCCCTCCATCTCTCCCCATGAATTTTAAACAGGAAATAATTTTGTATTTTTCAGGAGCTGACACCTGTTCATCACGGTTATGCAAAAATATAGGTAAGACACATCTTAAAAACTGTTTACATACTTTTGCATGATTTGGTTTATTGCTGTAAATGACTTCTAGATCAGAAATACTGCCCCTGAAGAAGAACACTCATTTTTTTGCAGCACACTTTGACACTTACATTTTTTCAGTCACTTTACTTTCTTTTTCTCCTCCAAGAAAATAAAAATGGAAACATTTTGCAGAATGAGAGACTAGCACAGCATCTGAGAGTTTTTCTGTCAATGCTTTTGGGAAGGTCAGATGTGATTCTTGGATTGCATGAACGCATGCACACAATGACGCTTGTCCTCTACTCCTCCCATTATGTTAGTGAGAAAGGTGACAGAGCCATGTAAATAATTAGGTTGAAACTTTATGGCACGCCTCTAATCAATATCTACTCTAGAAAGGAAAGAGCGGTCTTGTGGTTAAGGCATTTATATAGGAGTTTGGGGTTCAATTCCTATTTTAAGTTTTCAGCTACATCTTCATGCTTCAGATGATTATCAACCTCTAAACCCAAGATAATTATTATCACCTTGCCCCCACCTTGTTTTATCTATGAAGTGCACAAGCAATCTGTGACAGGGATCAAGTGTGCGTACAGTGCTTGATCCAAGGGGGCCTTTAAACACTATCAGACAGCTCGCTGATCCAAAGCCAGTAGTGTCCCGTCCAGCCTTCTAGTAGAAATCAGGTCTGGTCTTACCTCATATCATCTATTTTCTCAGTAATGTCTCTCTTCTCAAGATGTTTTCCCCACAGCTTCAACATCTGAATGCTATTCATGACCAGTATGGTGCACTGGTATCTGGTTGTGCAGGCTGCTTTGCAAAGCCGGACTATTCAGAGTACCTACATGCCTTGAGTTTCAATCATACGGTTCACTTGGTTTGTTTGAATGAGTTTCCTCACATTTTAGAGATTCTCTTCATTGCTATGTGAGTGACTTTCCTTTTTACTTTCATGTCTTTAGAACAGCCTCATGTCTCTGACCCCCAGGTGATGGTGGAATTTAGGAGTGGAGACTTCAAGCTCATATTCCACAACCCCAAAAATGTGAGCGAGTTCAGCATGATCCTTTTCAAAGGGCATGAAAAGAAGCAGATCTGTGCACTCCATGTGAGCAAAGAGAAAACCGTTCCCGAGAGTAACGTCAGCTACTGCCATGCAGAACATTCAAATAGCAGCACCACTTTCATTCTTAAAAATCTGGAAAGAAAGCACACCGACGTTTATACCTGCTGCCTGGAGATGTTTTTACCTCCTCCTTACATAGACTGCAGGATGAACGAAACCTATTTGTACATCCAAGGTAAGTTTACTTTTCTTCTGCCCTCCTTTCAGTTTTACTGGTAAGTAGACTCTGGGTATAGCTATGCTGCAGTGAAAAACGTGACTACAGTTTTCACAGATATTTCCAAGAGAGCTTAACCGTTCTTAGCAGGGGGGCTGGTAGCAATGGAGCTGTGTTAGCAGTGAGCTCAGCACGGCCTCTCCATAATTATTCACCGTCTTGGGCAGTTTTTGCAGCCCATGCTGAGATGCACATATTGGTGATGGTATCCAAGCTAGCCAGGCTACATCTTCTGGGTTATTGCAGCCCCACCTTTGCCTGCAGAAGAAATATTCCCCCTGCCCTTTGCCAAGCCACTGAAGGCAAATGTTACCTTATTTCTAGCAGGGGAACAAAGTCCATTCTGAGAGTTACCTGCAAGTGTCTAGGATAAAAAACCAGCTATCAAATATCAGTACTAGTAGTGGTACATGCAACTCTCTGATGACACACTGGGAGAAGAAGGAGTTCACCTCAGTGAAGCAGGCCTTCAGCTTGACAGCCTTCTTGGAGCAGAAGAGATGAACAGCTGTGGAGGATCTTTGCCCTTCTGCTGAGAAGGGCTTGGACTAACTCCAGCAGAGCTGCTGCACAAGACATTAATTTTGAATTGACTTTCACTCAGTGGCTCTTTGGTATATTAAGCTGAAAAAGCGAACAGTCTTTTTGCTTACACCCCTTCTTTGTTCTCCTTATAGATCAATAGCAGTGCTGTCCCTTCTGTTGTCCTTCTCTTTCTATCCTTTCCCTTCTCTCAACATCAGGACTAAGCAAGACAGAAGATTAAATGCTAAGGCTAAAATTATGTGGTTGGGTCAACTTGTCTATCAGTCCCCTCTGGACATAACATGTGTTGATCTAAGAATCAAGTCGCGTCATCCTTTTCATTTGCAGTGTTTCCCAAAGCTGTCCATTTCCATTTGTCCTGGCAGATGCACATACCTATTGCTAGTTCTTTTGTGCTAGATCATCATTTTTTCCAGATGTGGGCAAGATTAATCTTGTGTCAGTTTGCCTTTCTATCAAAACACAGCTTTCAAAGTCTTCCCTTCTTTTAACTGGACGGTCCTTTAAATCACCCATGCTGCTCACTGAATGTAAGCTTGCATCTTGCTCAGATCTTCAAGTCTGAGATGCCATCACACTCTCAAGCCTCGCTTGGCTTCTTTTCAGACAACACCTTCACCCCTGAGTCAGCTTTCACCTCTCCTCCTGGAAAACTGTTGTCTTCTACTTCCCACTGAGTACACTTCCCCAAGACAGCTCTTCACAACAGCAAAACCCTTCTCCATAGCTCACTTCTGCCATTTCATTAATATGAAGAGAAGAGGAAACATAATTTGAAAAGTGAAAAGTTATCTTTAGGGAAAAAAAAAGAAAGTGCTAATTCTCATCAATGACTTTTTTTGCCTCTCCATCTCCAGATAAGGAAGACTGCTTTTCATCAGGATTCATGTCATGGATAATTATTGGACTGATAGTGTTTGCCATGATTTCCTGTGTCTGCTGTGTAGTTGCCTGTTTCTTAAGGAACAAGGTAAGCAAGTCTATGAGATTCTGCACAACCCTTCTTTCAAGGGTCATGGATGGGGAACTTGACTCAATGAGATTTAGAGGGTGGGATAGGCACATACTCAGCATGTGATATGTGTTTTGACAAAGAGACTGAGTTGTTAATGTACTACTGGAATTCAATCACTGATGACAGAGCAGCTCAGATTTAATTTTTCTAAGACAGAATTGTTTATTGATTTAAAGACTGGGAATCAAAGAAAGAGGAGGAAAGCTGCACAGATCAGCAAAAAGACTTTGGTAAGCAATTCACCTGATTGTTTTCTTCAAGAGGGGAAAACAAATCATCAGTGGAGCAATTCCAGCTCTGTTCTGGAGCAAAACCACTTAAATAAAAACCAGTTGGCTCGGGAAAGAAAAGAGATCACGGACATTAGTTATTTTTGTTGGACAGTGTCTGCTTTTCATTTTCAGTTTGTCCTATTCCAAGTTTTGTATGTGAACGCCTGTCTATTCTGACTTTATCATCTTCATTGAAAACAGTCTGATTAACTGTACTATTTAAAGAACAAAAGCAGGAGTGGGTGAGGTTGGGGACCACAAATTGAATTCATGGCATTTTCTCTCTGTTGGCAGAACCAGCAGTGTGAATCCAACTCCCATGAGTACAACAGCGAATACATGCCCATGGCAGCAGTGAACGCAGCTAGAAAACCAAGAATCTGAGGTTGTGTTAAGTCTAATTGCCCTTGTACCTCTACTTGTATCTGTTGCAAGGCTTTCTCTAGGTGGGAAAGGGCTGCTTGCTGTCTCCTGTTGATTCTCAGTGGGTGGGATTATTAGGAGAGCTTGTTAATGTAGTTTAGGCTGCCACGGAGCAGAAAGAGGAAACAAAAAGCAAAATCTCTGGGGAGCTTTTGAATCAGAATGGTGGACTGGTTCCTAGAAATGAAACTGCTTCACATCAGTGCAAAGAAATGATCTTATGCATGAGGAAGGGTTGTAAAACTCTATTCCTTTCAGGTTCCTGGGAAAATGCCTGGTACCCCAAATCTCCCTGGGGAAGGGATTTGCTACTTTTGCTCAGGGTTACTGGCTAAGGGCAAATATCCACAAACAAGGAGGAACTTCCTTACTGCTTAAGCCCCTGCACAGTAACCAGCAGCAGTTTGGATACAGAGCACAAGCAGAAGTTGGACTGATTCAGACATATGTGGGCTGCACGTAACTAATTTTCCATTTCTATTCCAGATATAAGTTATTTGTGGCATAGAAATTTTGGCAGCAGGAGTTTCCAGCTACTTGAACCTGGACTACAGGAAATTGGCATTTCCTCACCTCTCTCAGCCTCCCTGAGCTCTCGTGATGGTCCTGCGCTCAGTCCTGAGACATCCACTCCAGTACTGTCCTAAGCCGTGTTTTGCTGTAGATTTCTGTGTTAACTGGCACACTTCCTGATCCACTGACTTGTACATGAGGTGCTAACAATGCGTTCGAGATGTCAGCTTGTAGGTAAAGAAAAGGTAGCATGTTTGCCTGAGAGTAGATCTCTGTAGTGCTGCTACAGAGCGAATTTTGGTTTTCTACAGTTTCCTTTATGAAAAACTTTCCATTGGGGAAAAAAAAAGACTACCTCCAGTGCCAATCCTTGGGGCATAGCCATGAAGCACTGTCAATGTATTGCACATTCCCCTTTAGTTAGGGCTTGTGTCGCCTGATAATATCAATTCATCCTAAGATTTACTGCCAAACTTCTTAGCACCACACTAGGAGAGTGCAGTGCACACACATGCTCTCCTGCAACACCACCTGAGACAGCAGGGGAACGAAAACTGAGAGAGTACAACAGGGACTTTACCGTGACCCAGAACCTCAGGTTTATGCACCTGCATTTTTTGTATCTGTAGTATCAATACATCTTTGCACCTCACACCTCAGGGTTCCTCTTCTTTAATTAAATTCTGAATTCCTCTACTGAAAGTGAAATATATTACTTTCAAGACTGCAGCTGTTCTTTAAATCAGTTCTGGCCTGCAGGGTCTGTCCCTAAACTAGGAGGCACCATCTCCTATTCACGTCTCACAGCACAAATGCACCACAGTCCATAAGGCCGGAGTATTCACAGGCTTTGCGTTGCAATTATCTTCCTCTTGTGGTTTGACATGAAACCTTTACCACTTCCCCAGCGGGTTTAGGGGTTACTTGACCTTCCTCAAATTGCTCGGAGCCCTCAATGTGAATGAAACGATCATTCCTTCAGGCTCCTTGTGAACTCCAACAAAACTCGGACCATAAATGACCCACTGGGAATCCAACCTGGATGTTTTCGGCAGGCACAGTTCAGCTGTGTGGAAGCAGAGTGCCGCATTGATTCTTAATCTCTCCGTAATTCATGGAAAAAACAAATACTCGTCAGAGGGCACTATGGTAAAAGAGCCATAGCTAGTTCATCTGGTAGACAACATGTTGATTTCAAATCAGGGATTATCAGGCAGGAAAGTGAGATGAGTTGGTAAGTCAAGAACAGGGTTTTCCTGAGCAAACACGTATATACATGGAAGTGTTGCAGAGAAAAGGTGCAAATTGTTAGCCGTGACCTTAAGCAAAGAGGAAAGCACTGAAAGAAGTAGGGACTCAGTTTAGCAGTGGGTACTCTGGTTAGATAACCAGCTCCTGCACAGGGATGTAGATGGGCACCCTGGTGTTCAGGTTAACATTACATTCCCTCCCATTGCTCTACCAGAAGACCTCTTCCAGACTACTTAACCTCCCCCTTAAGGCAAAAATATCCTCTGCATATCCACGAATACACTGATTTCACCATAAATGGCTTTTAAAACTATCGGTGAAAATAGCTAACTACTACTGCCTATGAGAAATGCTAGATGTAAGCTCCTGTGTAATGGTAGAGAGTCCAAAGGAACCTACCACCAACTGAGAAGGAAATTCAAGGAACAAAGAGTTTCTGAAAGAAGGAAGAAACTTGAGGTTCACTTTGAGATGCTGCTGGATAAAGGACAAATGATGAAAGTCTGACCAAGGAAGTTTAAAATACATATATTGTACTCTAGACAGATAAATGATTTATATTCATGGTAACAAAGCCTGTCTCAATAAGCTTTGAGAAATGTCAGGCTCCATCACCGCTTTTCTTTGAAAAAGAGATTTTTATTCTTAATAAAATTTTTTTATTATACTGCATGTGTCCTTAAGAAACTTCATGCACGCATGTCATGTGAAAGAAACAGGCTCTACGACCTCCACAGCGAGACAGGGAGAGGGTACTGGCAGTTTAACCCTATAGAGCATCTTGGTGGGAAACAGGAAAAGGACTAAGGAATACAACTGATTAAAAAAAGTGAAAAACATACAAATTTGGAGCTGTTTCCACATGGTGAACAAATGATGCTTTTGGATCTGCTTGTTTCTTTTTGTTTTCAAGAAAAAGTCTTTTTTTATTCCCTGATTTCTTCTTCCTCTTTATCTTTTAGTCCTTTACACAATAAATGGCTAATTTTCAGGATTATTTTTGGATAGTTTCTTTCTGTCATTCTTCAATGCCTCCAAATCTGAAGGAGCTGGAAGAAGATAAAGGATGGCAGAATGAAAAAACATCTATGAGAAATGTAACATGAGTCAAATTTATAGACTGAGTGACAAAAAGGATTAAAAGAAAAGAAAACAAAAAAGAAGCGAAGAAAAATAAACAAAAAGCCTGATATTCTAACAGGTCAACATTTGGAAAAGTAAAAACTCTCTTTGGAAACTCCTAGTTTTGGAAAAAGACCATTTTTGCAGGGAAAAAAAATCAAATAAGAAAAGAATTCTACAAAATACACTTCCAAGACAAGCAGAAGCATGAGTAATATCTAAATTATCTCTCGGAAACTGGGGTAAAATCAACTACGACTGAAAAAGCAATCTCAACCTACGTTTTCTGTTTGCTGCATAATGGTTTAGGCTTGTAACAGAAATTTTACTATTGTACAGCAATTTGTGATGGCGGGGTCTACAACTGCGCCTCTCCATCTTCCTCTTCTATTGCTTCATAGGGATTATGATTAGAAAAGTATTTCACCTGAGCCTTTTCCAGGAACAGAATCCCTAAGAATAGTGTTTGTGTAAATCTAGTTTCTGTCCTACCACAAATAACTTAAGATCTGACATTAATAAGATGCTTTATCCTTTCTGACTTATTTTTGTTATAACCTTCCCCATATATATTTACACTGCGTAATGCCCTTTATATCTTCCCAGTCCATGCCTAGAAAACTGTATGAAGGCAGTAAGTCAGTATACCAAATCGGGTGTATGGCAAAGAACTTCTCATAATCTCCTTGTAGGTTAACACCTGAAGCAGAAATTTAAAACTTGAGCAAACTAAGCCAAACTTAATCTTGCTAAACAGGTAGTATGATCTAGTGTGAACAGCTGATAACTTTGGCTACCACAAAATTTAAGGAAGGATAAATGACGAGAATAACTCATAATCTGAACACCTGTCCACCTGGAGAGGGGTTGAAATCGAAACCTGAATATGCATTTTGTAAGTTTATCTTCCCAGCCTGGGTTCTGAACCCTGAATGCCCTTGGACTTTAATGATCAGATTCAAGACTGGAATTTTGTAGCTGATGGATAATACTGGATATGAAATGCCATCATAAAATGTCATGGGCCATTTTCCCTTAGCACAGATATTTCATTAACTTCAAAGTTCAAGTAGTTTTAAATTTTACCATACTTCATAGACTTTTACAAAGCGTATTCAAGGCTAGGGGAAGAGAGGATCTGAAACTAGAGTAAAGCAAAGAAATTAATCGAAACTGGGATCGATACTGCATACAATGTTATTTATAAGGTGTTTTATATGTGGAGAGTCTGTTATGCATGTGAATCTATAACTTGCCATGGAGAAGATGTATCAATAATAAAGGTAGAAAAAGCACAGGCCATTGAGATTACTTATTTAAAAATAAGGCCAACCGGTTAGTGGGGGCTTTTGCCACACTAGGCTTACTGGGGAGCTGGACCTAAGTATTTGCCTTTGGTTTAACTTTAACTGTGATGAGACACTTCACGTACTCAAGTCACCTGAGTTGTACTGCCCATTATTTCTAAAGCAGTCTACTGACGGTCATTTAAAATTCCTTTTTCCCTGTGAGAGGAAATTTTGAGGATCATATCGATATTCTCTGATTACAGGTTCAATTCAGTATGGGGGGTGGATGGAGGAGAGGGAGAAACAGGAAGGATTAAACAGCTTCTCTGACAAAATGAACTGTACAGATACAAACTGCAGATATGAAGGAGGTGTCGGGGAGAACTTCATCTAAATTAGTATCTCCAAACTATTTAGTTCCTCCTGGGATTAATAAGATCTGGTATGGTTTGAGATCAACTTTTAAAAAGAGATAAATCAGCTCTGATTATCAATGAGAAAGATTTAACTGCTGCACACATCAAGTGTGACCATTTTTAAGAATGGCAAAGAGTTACATCTTTGAAATCCTGAAGATCTTCCACATATTAAATCCTGCATCAGTCCCTCTAATTGTTAATACACTGATACTGGCAGATCTATCACCCAGGTGTTTCACCTTCTGTCCCAATACATGGCACGAGCTGGTTTTACTGCAGCTCATAGAGTATGTTGCGTCTCCCAGAGCTGAAGCAAGGACTCAAGGTCTGGACTGTGCAAAGACTGACAAGGCTTGCAACCTTTCCCCCTGCAGACAAGCAAGGCTCACGGGCTGCCCTACGGCTCTCCTGAAACGCTAAGTCTGGAACGCTGAGAAGAAAGCAGGACGGGGACGTGGTGTTCTTAGCGCCGGCTGCTGGAGTGAGATAGGGCAGGAGGGAGCACACCGCCTTCGAAAGGTGGCAGTTCAGTTGAGGATGCCCTCTGTGCAGTGTGAGAGCTCTGCACGGGCTTTTCAGGCTACTGAGGCCAAATACTGGAGTAGGGAGCTTGAAACTAGGATTCTCAGGCGTTTTGCCAGCTGCTTTCCTCCACAAAATGTAAGGCACTTGGGTATGTCTATTCAATCAAATCATTTGCCCTTTGCAAAACAAAAAACGACAGTAAGATTTGCTCATTGAGGCTTCTCTGGGTTGGAGTGAAGTGGCAGGCAGTGTAGTAAGCACCTGACCGAGCGCCAGCAGAAGTGCCTAGTTTGACCCTCCTGTCTGTGGCTCCTCCTGCCGATCAGACTGGCACCGGGCTGCACACTGCTGGCCCGGGTCGTGAGCGTGAGCCAAAGGGACAACAGCGTCGGACAAGGGTCCCAGCACTGGGAGCTGAGCTTAGTATTGCTGCTCTCATGAAACTGAGATAAGAGCTACCTCGGTTTAGGAGCCACGACACCCTTTGCACTGCTGCACCTGCCCAGAAAGAGGAAGCTTGGCGAGAGGCATGGGGGCAGCCCCTGCTTGGCTGCACACAGGTAGTGACTAAGCATGAGACTGCCACAAGCATTTTAGACGGATATGGGGGTTCCAGAAGTGTCAGAAAGTTAAACTAAAGCATTCAGTTAAAGGATTATCCTTAAAGGATTTTGGGGGCTGCCATACCTCATGAACGTGACGCAGCCCACACTGGCAACGAAAGATTGCCAACATCAGTGGTTTGCCCATGAGGACAAGCAGCTTCCCCAAAAATACCTGTAATCCACCAAGCTGTTTGACTAAACCTTAGCCAGGCAGTAATTTTAGCAGACTGCAACAAGACTAAAATAATCAACTGTTAAAGCATACTGCCAAAATGAAAAGCCTCATTGCCTCCAAACAGTAATACTGATATTTACATTTTATTATCCTACAGGTCTAAGAAATTGTGATAAGCAGTTAGGGCATTTGTACCACGTAAATGTTACTCAGAAGTTTTGTGTTGGTTAGGATTTAATTTTATTTTGCTCTTTGTACTCGCACCTCTGAGAAGCTTAGACTCACAGAAGTGTGTGAGATGATCGTGGAAAGCCGACTGTTGCTCAGGCGACTGACTGACCTGTGCACCCAGCAAACAAGGACCTCTTTCAAGGACATCGTATTTATTCAACAGAATACTCCCAGGCCTGGAGTTTCACTCTCATATAAAGGCTCATGCAGACACTGCCCTACTGCCTTCCCCAAACTGTACCCACCCCTCGTGGCTCTCCTCTCTGCGAAGGAGCTCATCAGTCCTGGACACGGACCACGCTGCCAGGCTCGGTGGGGCACCCTCTCCTTTGGGAAGCCATCTGTCCTGGCCAAGGGGCAGCACCTAGCGGAGGCAAGAGCTGCTTCTGAGCAGCTCTCCACCGATAACTTTTTTGAGCTGAAGAGTCCCCTTTTCTGCATTTCCTCGTTTCTTTTTCACATGGCCAATGCAAAGAGGTACGAAGCGCTTTCAACCACAAGATCTGTCTTGTCAGCTTCAAAAGCTAAAGGAAACCTCATCTCCACCGGGACTCTGACATAGATGAAACAAGCTCTGGCTTTCCTACTAAGTGTGTTGGTAATCTTTCCATTTAAAGATCAAAAAAAAAAAAGTATGCTCTTTACTGGAAAACACAGACGTATTAGAGAAAACAGGCATCCATGTTGAGAAGTTGCTCATGATTCACAATTTCCACTGAAAATTTTAAGTTAAAAAAAAAAATCCTGTTCACCCAAGATAATGAAAGTGTACGTTTTGTTTGGTCAGAAAGCAGGCCTCTATCCCTTTTAAGAGAAATCCTCTCACCAAGCACAAGTATTAATTCAAAGGCAAGGCTCCAAGCGAGCCCGAGCCCTCGCAGCACACAGCACACATCTTTCCTTCTGCCATTACAACTAGCGCTAACGGCTCTTTCAGAGACTTGAGTTGCATTCCAGTAGCGGTCACCCATTCCCCTTTCCATGCAAACCAGCATTCAGTTAGCAGACACTGACAAAAACAACAGCTGTGAAGAAAAACATGCAGAGAAGTGTTACTACAGCCAAGCTAATGTAGATATTCAGTCGGCTTGCTTTGACAGCTAGCCGGAGCATTGCACCACATGGCCATGGAATCACGGCTGAGTCATTTTTAAGCTACACTTTCTCTGCTTTCTGTGGTGCTGGCAGAGGCAGACAGAGAATGAGAGTCTAGAGTGAGAGGCA